CATCATTCAATGGAGTATAAAAAATGCCATGAGATTATCAGATTTAAGGATACTACTGCAGCACAATTGTAAGAACTACAGAAAATGCTAAATAAAAAGGAAAACCAAATGCTTACACAAGGATTTAATATAAACATACTTCAAAACAATGCGCCAAGAAACGAATAAATGTAGCAACTTCATTAGAAAAAGAAGTTAAAATAATGAGTTAATTACACAAAACCACAACTTCAGAATATCTTATAACACTTTACCACAACATTTAAGTTTTTTAACACAAAACCACAACTTCGCGGCAACTTATAACACTTTACCACAACTTTTGAGTTTTTTAACACAAAACCACAACTGTTGGCCTAATTCTCAACATTGAGCCCAAATCTACCGGTCAACTTCTTTTAACAGCCAATCTGAATGATTGGGCCCACATGTCAGGCTCTAGGCGACAAGTTCCCTCCTATGTGGCGCTGACTGAATGTGTGTAACATAGCAGTGTGCATACAACATCGTCATCTCTTCGATGACACGTTCACCTGCAGCTTCTACGCCATCTACCCCGAAAAACAAAAAAGATCCGCCGTCTTCAGCTTCTTTGTCTGGCGCACTCCGTCCAACCATGTTGTTGTCTGGACAACCGCAGCTAGCACATGCACTATACCACGTCGTGCATAGACAAGGCTCTTGCCTTGTGCTCCACCGCTGTAGAGACGCGCTCGTCCTCCCGAGGACCTCTTTGTCTAGTTCGCGCGCCCCGCCCGGCCATGCCATAGTCCGGACGGGCGCTGCCAGCACATCCGTGCCGCCACGTTGTGCACAATCAGGGCTGCCACCCTCATGCTTAACGACCACTGCAACGTGCTCGTCCTCACTGATTACAACGTCGAGATCATTTTGGAACTCCACCGCCAACGATAGTGACATGTGGGTGCGGCTTTGCGACACTAGGAACCTCGCCATTGAGGACGCTTGGAGTGATCATCCTGTGGCAGAATTTTGACCACCCCCAACAACACCCAGCTCCCTGGTCAATGCGTCGGTGGAGTTTATAGCGCCGGTACGGGATGGCAAGAGAAGGAAATGGTAGGCCACATCGGAGATGCGCACATGCCACCTTTTTCCTGCTTAGTTCCTAATATGTGGGCCCAGTCAATCAGATTGTATATTAAAAGAAGTTGACTGATAGATTTGGGCTCAATGTTGAGAATTAGTTCAGAAGTTGTGGTTTTGTGTTACAAAAACTCAAAAGTTGTGGTAAAGTGTTATAAGTTGACCTGAAGTTGTGGTTTTTTGTTAAAAAACTCAAAAGTTGTGGTAAAGTGTTATAAGTTACTCTGAAGTTGTGGTTTTGTGTAATTAACTCTAAAATAATTCCAACCATACAGGACGACACACTATTTTGGCTGAAATAATGAAACCTTTACCTAGGACAATTTAGGTTGGAAACCACAAACATAGATGCATAGTATAACCAAAGATGACAATCCTTTCAGGTTTAAGTTTCTTCGACAATGTTCTGCCATTCAAAGTACCGCTATGTCTTTCAAGGAATATAAGTTTCTTCAATTGCGTTGAACTCTTCAGATAACCATATAAGAGCACTTCAAGTTACAGAATGACATTTGGCACAAGCACAACTGTACAAGGCTCCATACAGGTACAGCCATGTCATCCTTGTTTATATACCAGGATCACAGTATTATACTATCTTATACTCCCTCCGTCCCAAAATAAGTGTCTCAACTTTGTATTAAGCTTGAGACACTTATTTTAAGACCGAGGGAGTAGTATTTGACAAACTTTGGATCTATGATATAGCATGCCACATGGCTGTTGCCTGAAATGAAACAAAAAAATCCGTAGTATGTACTATAGGACTTGTACCTGAGCAGCTTCATTGGTAGCATCTTTAATCCATATAGCTATTGTTTCCTGCTTCGCACGCACGCTAAGGATCGCTCCACAAATTTCATTATCATATTCGAATTGCTCACCAATCAATGCCAGTATCTAAACATGATATTTGCCAAAAGAAGTCAGGATGGATTTACAGAAAAAGAAATTGTCCAAAACGAGTGATGCGAAAGATGCTTACTGTATCCAACCACAATGGCTGTGATTTGCCTTCGCCACAACTGATGGTCCATGCACCTCCATTACCACGTATAGGGCCTTCACATTTCGGCTCAATCTTATTCTTGAAGCAATGGAGGTCAGCTCCCACACCCAATTTACTAGGGTGGAGGATATTTTTGTAAAGGCTGAAAGACCACCCAACTCAATTGTTAGCCATGAAGGGATATACGCAAAAGGTGGAAAATACAGTAAAGACCGAACAAACATCACCGATTTTCTGAAGCAGAATTTTTTACCCTGAAACAAATGTAGTGTGACTGTGTGAGTAATGACAGATATTATCATCTGGTAGAAGACAACCCAGGGAGTCAGTCAATATACACTACTCAGTTCAGCTTAACATTCTCACAAATCCCTGTTTGCGGGAGGCTGAAATCCGGTCACAAAACTAGAGCCAGAGAACATTTTAGTCCTAGACTCGAGCATCAGATCAGCAGTCTTGTGTTGGCTTAAGGCGAGTTGCTCGCAGGGCATCTAAATCTAAATTTACAGCCATCGTACATCATTCACAAGCAACCAACAGATTGGGGACTAACGAGGGTTTGGGAGGAGGCGAAGGGTGGGGGAAAAGACCTCCGGAAGTCGTCGACGGTGGAGAAGGTGTGGACGGTGTTCTCCCGGCCGGCGGACTCCTCCTGCGGGTTGCGGATCCAGAAAGCCCAGGTGGGCTCGACCGGCTGGGGCGCGGCGGAGTCGCCGTCGGCACCGGCGGCGGCGCCTGCGATCTCTCCCTTCTCTATCTCCTCCGCGTCGGCGGGCGCGCGCACCGTGTCGGCGCCCTCGGCCATGCCGGTGGCGGCGATGGGAACAAGCGCCGCCGCCGCGTGGTCGCGTGAGCTGCGTCGACTAGTCGCCGAATGGACGAGCGCGTAGAGAGCTATTTTTTTGTGATTCGGTCACTGCGCAAGTAGAAATGCTTATCTAAACTCAGAAAATATACAGTAGTGCACAGTATTTTTTTTTCACACTTCTTATTTCTTTACCAAATTTCACAGAAAAGTCTTTCTTTTCTTTTGAATCAGTGTATTACTCAAATTAAGTATTCATACAATCGTGTTCAACCCATTCGGTCGAGTCAAGCAAACTTTGGTGCTTCCTGGGAAAATCTCCCTCCACCGGCGAGCCCATGGATTCGCCTCCCCTTCGCCGGACGCTCCGGCGGCCGGTGGTGGGGAGGGGATTTTTGGTGCTTCGGATCCGGCTAGTAGATAGGTGGCCAAATTTCGTGTTTTGACCTTTTTGCTATACAAATTCAGGATTTGACCCTGGTTGCAAAAAAATTCGAGATTTGACCCTTTCGCTACCGCCAGGGGTACAGGCGGTAGGGTTACACAGCCTACCGCCAGAGCCTCTGGCGGTAGGATGCGACGGAGGGGACGGCGGCCGTTTGCCCGAGGTGACGTGGATAAGTACCCTACCGCCAGGTACCTTGACGGTAGGTTGTCTAAACCTACCGCCAGCACCCCTGGCGGTAGGGTGCGGCTCGGTTTTGCCTCCCAAACTTTCTGTGACGAAATACCAAAGTGCCCTGGCGGTAGGTTCGCCCTACCGCCAGGGGGTTGGCGGTAGTCTGTGCGACCCTACCGCCAGAGGCCGTGGCGGTAGGGTCCTGTGTTTTATTTTTCCAAGTTCAGTTGCTTGCTTCTTTTCAAATTCAATATGACATCAATATCACAAATAGATAAGCACAACAGCAAAAAGTGTTTGCATATGAAATTATGATAACCTCACACTTATAGATAGTAAAAATGATGTATCCATTAAGTTCAACATATCAAAATAGGTTCAACTACTAACATAGGTAGCAATAACAAGACACCGAGTAGTTCAACATAAGACAACAACTTTAACTTAGCAAGTTCAACATCACTAGTTCCTCCCCGTCCCCCTCTTGGCGGCACGCTCCTCGTTTGTCTTCGAGCGGCCCTCGTCCGGCTTCTTCGAGCGATGATGAGGAACCGGTTTCTGAAACGGTGATGGGCTCAGAGCATCCTGGTGCGGATGAGATACCCTCTTCGCCTGGGTTGGCTGAGTCGGTTGAGGTCCATCATCGTCGTCGTACTCCTCCTCATCACCTTCTCCGTCGTCACCTCCTTCCTCTTCTCCCTCTTCTTCCTCTTCCTCCTCGTCCACTTCCTCTTCTTCCTCGGTCTCGTTAACAAGGCGAGACGATGAGGCGACATGGCTCGAGGAACCTCCTCCGGTGTGGCTTGATGAAGCTAGGGCACGTGTCGACCCACCAGGAGGAGGAACATGCACGTCAACCGAGGCAGCTTACCCAAGCATGCCCGCTAGCTTGCGGCAACGGTTAATGATCTTCTGCAATAACAAATATAGTAGAGTATGACTTGGATCAGGTTTAGGGTTGCAAATAAGTAAGAACATGTGGCATGGATCAAATTTGTGTTCGCTCCAATAGAATGCTATGAGGCTTAAAGTTACCTTCGTCGCTTCCCTCAGCTTGTTTTCACCCTCCACGGTTCCGGGGTCAAAACTTAGCGCATTCGAGCCGTCGAAAATGTTTCTGTTTAGCTCTGCGGCCTAGGAATCCAAGGATCATTAAAAAGTTAGCGAGAATGACCATGTCATCATCATTAGCTTGAATGCATTTCAACAAAACTTACCACTCTGTTCATAAGGGGCGCATACTCCCTGAAATCACCTTGCATATCTCTGAGGTTTCTCTTATATGCTTCATCCTCAGAGTCCTCCTCCTCCTGAAGTGATGCCATGTCCGCTTCCGTCCATCGTGGCCTCAGACGCAGACGAAACTTGATTCCATCGTCATACCAATTCATGTGCCTCTCATACACATTCCAGCAAATGTCTGACCTCTCCTCATCTTTGCGGAACGTCCTCTCATCCCACATTGTCACAAAAGACTTGTGCTCGTCAGCCCAGTCCAATATCGACTGAGAATACTACCTGCTCTTCCTGCATAGGGACATAACAAGCAAAAACACAAAAGACCATAAGAACATCGAACTTAAAGAAATCACGGTAAAGAGATGGCAGCACATACTTGTGAAGGTCATAACCGCCGGTGTCGTGGGGCCTTGCCGGTGGTGGGTGTTGCAATACGCCAAATTGTGTTGCCACGCGTTGTGGTAGGTGCCATTCGACGGCGTACACGCATATCAGCGGGACAATGCACCGGAAGAGAAGGCGGTTCCGCTCGCACATCTGTTCAGCTCGAACCCCCAATCTCTATCATGGTACGGCCACCAGTTAACCTATACAAAGATTGTTTAGCAACCGTGAAAGTATAAACATTTAAAACTATCTCGCTCATTGGTATACCTGAAAAGATGTCAGGTTGTCCAGCTCGTTGGTGAAGGCCTTGTACATCGCACTTCCCTTGCCCGAGAAGACCTTAACCTTGTCCCAAGAATAGGCGACAGTAGGGTATCGAGAACGGTCGCCATCCTCGCCATACTCCGTCCACTCTGTCCGTGGCAGTTTCTCAGGGCGACCAACCGGCAGCCGCTCCCAACTCCAAATCGAGAGGGCCCAGACACACCCACACATCCCAGATGTTTTCTCGGTCCTCTGCGTTGCGTCATCTAGCTGCAAACAACAAGTGATGATCAGATGACACAATTTAAAGCAATTTAAAGAACCACACACATAGGTGAGATGTATGACGTCTTACCGAGCGGTAGAGGTACGCGAGGCCAGCAGACCCCCAGCTGTACCCTGCATCCCAGTCGGCCAGGAAGTCTAGATACATCCATAGGGCGTTGTCCCCCGAGCAGTCAGGAAAGACCACCTCTATGAGAAGAAACCACGGGTAGGCCCTTGCATACTGCTCCACGGTCCTCGGATCCGCATCTTGCGGGCATTCAGCCCAGTGGTCTAGGAGCCATGCCAGTGCTACACCGGATGTTCGGTTACTCTTGATGGGAGGGCAGTCGCCGATGAGGGCGGTAACCCTGTCCGGCCAGTTCTTCCTATCCACGCGCCCAATGAGAGCATGGCCCTTGATCGGTAGGGCCGTGATCATGGCGAAGTCCTCGAGCGTCACCGTCATCTCACCACATGGGAGATGGAAAGAGTGCGTCTCGGGCCGCCAACAGTCCACCAACGCTGTGAGAGCCGTGTGGACAAGCGTCGGCGGCATACGCTTGAACTGGAGCACGAAACCCAAGAGCCCAGCTCTCCTATAATATGGCTCATAGCGGTTGTCGTAGTTCATCTCTTTGACCTTGGTGTGACCCCTCATACGTAAGGGCGGAAGCATCTGTCAATGTGCACACGAAAATAGTTAGAAAAAACTTTTGAAAAGGCAAATTTGTGATGCAACACGTTGATCAGTGCTATTTACCACTCCGTTCTCGATGTAACGGGCGCGATGACCGTTATCGAATGCCGGGTCAAGCATAGTGTAATTAGTGCCGATCGCCGGACCAATGGGGGGCCTCCTGAAACACGAACACTTTGTTATGAACATATAATCATATCATGTTAAACCGTTCAACTAAACATCAATCATATCATATTCAACAGATGTAAAAAAATATTATGAATATGAACTGCGCTTCATCTTCAAACTAGTTATTCTATCCTATTACGAATATGAACATTAACCAATCAATTTCAACAATTGTAAAAACATATATAAAAATTACCAACATATTCATCTTCAAACCACATCACCTCATCACCTTATCTTATGCCAAATTGGTTCTATCCTCAAACTAGTTAACAAATTCAACATATTCAACCACATCACCACATCAACTCATCAATCATATTCAAACATATTTAACCACATCAAACATCAATAAATAATTCAAAAAAATATTAACATGAACTAGGGTTCATCAACTATATAAAATAGGCTCTATCATAGTCAACTTCAACCACATCACCACATAAATCATATTCAACTACATCAAACATCATATTACTCCTAATTAAACAAACCTAAAAACAACAAAAATCAAAATCTACTAGATAAAATAGGGTTCATCTTGTGCCTAATAATGCGTCGAATTGACAGCTTCTTAACTAAAACGAATTGGAGGGATTGAGAGAGCTTACTTTTCTCGTTTCGGAGCCATCTCGATCCGAAAAAACCGTTCACAAACGAAGAAGATCGGATGGGGGAGTGGAGGGGATGAGAGAGGCCTTCCCCTCTCTGTTCTTGCGGGCGGCGGCAGGGGAGAAGAAGATGGGGGCTGGGTTCGTGGATGGGCCCCACGAGCCGGCCCCCGCGGGGTTATAACGGTTCGGCACTTACCGCCATGAACATTAGCGGTAGGGTTGCACACCCTACCGCCGAATCTCCTGGCGGTAGGGTCGACGGCACGAAACGACAGCCGTTTGGTCAGGCTGACGTGGATAAGTACCCTACTGCCAGGGCACCTGGCGGTAGGCTGTGTAACCCAACCGCCAGAGACCCTGGCGGTAAGAAAAAGGGTCAAATCCCGAAATTTTTTCAAACCGGGGTCAGATTCTGAATTTGTATGCCAAAAGGGTCAAAACACGAAATTTAGCCTAGATAGGTAGGGTTTTAATTCTCGCAGGAGCAACGCTTCTTCTTCGTGTCAGTTTTTCGAGCTCCAATTCTCCTTAAGTTCGTCCGTTGGGACGGATTAGATGTAGCTCCGGCGTAGATTCCTGCCACCTTCTTGGGGCGGCAAGGTTACGGTTCTCATCATGCGTGCGCAACGGCATTATTTGGTGTCAAGTTCTTCAGATCAATTCAAGGATTCAACGACGACGAGTGTTGCTTCGGGATGATGGTCCTTAGGGGCACGTGCACGAAGACTTTCTGGCTGTCATC